ACAGCTAACAAATTAGGGAAAATAATTGTGACGTCCGACAACAAAATGTAACAAAGAAAACAAATACATATCAATGTGTTTTATTCAAGGGGAAAAAACCGAACCGAATCGATCAGTTTAATAAGAAAACCGGCCACCGGTTCGATTTAGTTTAGCCATTGAACCGATATCGAACTAATCAAATTAGGGTGAATCAGTGATGAACTAGTTTGAATGATTATCTTACTATTATTCCTATTTTTTCTCATTTAGTTCCTAATATATTAGTCACTATAGATTTAAATAAATTTTAATGATGATTTTGGTATTAATTATTATTAATTTTAGTTATTGATGAATCATAAAGCTCAAAATTCTTAATGTTATTATTACAATCAAACTATTGTTATATTTTCTTATATTTTGTTATTAGTGATTATTAATATTGTTGTATTTTGTTATTTTCAATTAAATTTATTATTTTAATATGACTGGTTTGATCCGAGTTGATCTTGATCTGACCCATTGACCTTTGAATCACTACCTCAACTGATTTATTGTCTAGTCCGGTTTTTTTTCCTTAGCTTTATTTGTTGAAATGAAAAAGATTTGATGTTTTTTTCAAATATATGTAATGAAAAATGTTATATAAACTGAATCTTTAGAGGCAAGAGGAGATAGGATTGGCTTGTCTAACTCCACGAGAAAGCGGGGAAAAAGTCTCTTTTGCAGGACTATCATTTCATAGATAGGATTACCTTGTTTATTAACTGAATCTTTTGCGCACACCGTTCAACAAAGGTCAATCTCACAAGTTTTATCAATTATAAGCATACATCATTTGTGATGACTTATGTTGTCTTTTCAACCGCAGTGTGTGATCCAATAAAATATGACGGCGAAGTGTGGAATATCCAGCAATGGCGAGCCAGATATATTCTCCTACTGTCTGTCACCAAATTTTGAGGACTTCCTTTTCATGTCTTGATGTTGCTGATTATCTCTTATTATTGTCTCCCAATCGTAATGGAGTTTTTTCTTTCAAGAAGGCTTGTCAATTAGCAGCTCGTTTGGGAGATTGTAAAAACCCACCTAATATTTGGCAAGTAGGTCTTCCTCCGAAGATGATTTTGCGCACTTGGAAAGTTTTAAATTCAGCCATACTGAATGGATCAGCTCTAAATGAGCACCAAATTTTTAGTACTCCTTCCTATTTAAAATATAAGGATAAAAATTTTTAAGGGGTGATATCTTCTCGTAAGGTTTGTTTTAGATTTGTTGGGTCATTTAATGAAGTTTTCCTCTAATTATTCGTTGTCTCTCTGTTTTTTTTTTTCACTTGTTATCTTTCATGTCTTTTTTCAGTCATCCTCTCTGCCACTCACTCCCTCCACAAATAACAGTGTTTTTTAGAAAGATAAGTTACATTGTCTCTAATCAATTTTAGCCAACTTTTCAAATTGCGTAAATTAGTTATTTGATGCTTATATTCTAAATCAGAGAGGATAAGTAATGTTTCTGTGCCATATATGTGGTTCTGCAATGGAAACTCATCTAACCTTGTGGTTTGCTTTGTCCTTAGAGATAAAGTCAGATGTTATTGCAATAAGTAAAACTGTGAGAAGGTCATAGATCATTAGTGACTGGGGGGGGGGGAGTGAGATTCAAAAGTATTTCCTATGTTTTCTTCTTTGAACTCCTTCATGAAAAATGAAACCTTGAAAAACAAAAAAATCAAAGTGGTCAAGCATTTGCCCTATTACTATTAGTGAAGCCAAAGCATCCTTTGTCTTCATCGTCTCAGCTGATTTTAAGGTTTGAAACTTTTTTCCTCTCCTCTCCAAAAATATTATGATTGGCATATTCGGTTTGGGTGTGTGGTTACATAGAAAATCCTTCTGTGCTTGAGTGATGCAAAGCTTCTGATTTTGGTATGCTATGAACAAGGTAAGAAATATAGAGCCTGTGTTGTTATTTTGGTACGTGTTGGTGATTTAAGTTGGAATTTCATTATGAGTGGGTAAGGTAATAATATGTACTCTGTTTTTTGATATATCATGAGTGGGTTGATGATAGATTTGTTCTGTTTGGACATGATTTGAATGGGAATGGATGAAAAATATAAAAGTTGTTGTGAATAAAAACCATTACTATGAAATAAAAAAAAAATGCATTGTCAATGTAAGCTGTAATAATTGTCAATACAGCTATTTGAACCTTAGCCTGTATGCAGGCTAGTTTTTAGGTTCAAGCCTAAGCCTACTAAAGCCTATATATTTTATCCTAGGCTCAACTGGAAAAAAAACCTATGTTTAATTAAACTAAAACCTTATTTTTAATGAATGAGAATAGAGTAGAGAAAATAAGAAGAAAAATCAGCCTATCAAAACATTTAATCAACAAGCTTGCAGGCATATATATCTGTGTATAGGTCGAATCTAAATCCTTGGTCTTCTGAAACTTCAACACCTTTTTCACTGTCTTTTGCTCTTCAAACAAGAAGGCTTGAACGATCCTAATCGGACCAAATAGAAATTCTAGATAGATATCGATTCATGATATGAATGAAAATTGATGAAACAATCTTCTAGGGCCTAAGGCGCTAGAAAGTTATGCAAAACAAAACACTGAAGGCAATAAAGAAGAAAATATGAAGTGACCATTGACAAAGCAAGAACGAAGTGGGGGCAAGAAGTCGAGGAGTCTATGAGAAGTTTGAACCCCAGCCACAATACAAGAAGGAAGGAGCAACCAGTCAGTTTTATTTTCCGTTTCTCCTAAGTAAGATAATGTTATCTATGGTATTATATTAAACATTTTCCTATTATATAATATATACTGAATATATATTATCCTAAAAAATAATATAATATGTATTTAAACAGGTAGCCTATTAGGCTAATAGGCCAGGCTTTGTGAAAATAGGCCTGGCCCATGTCAAGTCAGGTCTAAAGTGGGCCAGGCTGTAGGTTCTTGTTAGGATCTGAAAGAATGTATTTTGTTTCTTTCATATGGAGGGAAGTTTGCAAACAATTGAAAAGATGATATGTAATATGTTAAGGGTTGCGTAAAAACAAGAACCATAAAAGAAGTCACAAGTTATGCAAAGTTGAAAACAATGATATCATCATTTCTTTGGGGGGGAAAAAAAGTTACTTATTTGTTTTAAAATTTTTAGTTATATTTGACAGAAAAGCATTTGTGGAGCTTGTAGCAATGAAGAAAGTGGTAATGTGTATATAGAATTTTAATTTGTAATCAGTTATAATTATCTACACCCCTCATTATCAATATACCCGTCCTCTCTTGTCACTCATGGCACTATCACTTGTCAATTTATCTAGTGATATAAGTTTGAAAAAAATGTGATATCAAACTACATACTGTCATATATATAATATTAACAATTGCTCTACATTAATATTGCCATTCTAACTTTGTCATTTATGTTGTAATTACTGTTGTAGGATCCAGGTTATTATTCTGGAGCTTCACGAGTTGATTTGTCAATGCTCAAATAGAATTAGACTACTTGAGCCTAAACTTAAATGGCACAGTAGAGCACCACATCAAAGAGAATAGAATAGAAGGAGGAATAGCCAAAAAACTTAATGGCTAAAATGAAGAGAAATGAGTTGAAACACTTCTATTTATAGGGTCAAAGTGACCACCATTTTAGGAAGGTGTAATCTCTCTCATTTATTACAAGATAACATTTCGATTCACAATCGACAATTAATGTTTGATTGATTACTCTTCAATCAATCAAGTCCTTAATGCTTGATAAAATATTTCTTAATCAATCATTACCCCTAATTGGTGATTGATTTATCGACAATTAATATCTGATTGATTACTCTTCAATCAATCAAGTTTTAATGCTTGATAAAATATTTTTTAATCAATCATTAACCCTAATTGGTGATTGATTTCCTTTGATCAAAGGGATTCTTCTTCTTTGAATCAAACAGTCTGCCGAACCCAATATCCAACAACTTTAAATTCAAGGGGAAATCTTATTTAAATTCGGTTGAAATATCAAAATTTAGATTTGGACCACTTTCAATAAATTTCTAATCAAGTTAAGAGAACTAATTAGGAATTTTTCAATCTTATGAATTTTACTCAATGCCCTTGAATGCTCAAGATTAGCCCCTCTCCTCTCTTATTAATAAACCCCCTTCACCTACATCTTTCTTAAGCCAGCATTACTGATGGCCTCCTTCTCATTGATGGGGGCGGTTTTCCCCTTCGTGAAACTCTAACCATTGATTCTAAGTTCGACCACCGTCTCAACAGGAACCTCTTTAATCGAAGCCAAATTTAGTATATTTGTATTTGAGGATATTTGTTACTTCTCTGGTTATAAGACCTATTTAACTAATTTGATTAGATTAAGAAAGTTAGGTAATTTAGTTAATTATAAAAAATAACATTTTTTTCTTAAATACCATAATTATCTTTCTTAATGTCCTTCCTTTCATCTTCTACTTGATTATATTTGAGGAGTATCCGTGGGAGTAATTTAGAAAAAAATTAATAAAAATGAGAAATAGATCTTATATTTAGGACCAAAATAACTCAACAATTATGTCCTATATTAAGGACCGGAGGAGTAATATTTAAAATTTTGAAAAACTAAACAAGTTTACATTTGAGAATTTTAATGTTTAAAATTTTCATTGCAACCATTTTTATTAGTATACTAATACTAATGGTGTTTTTTTTTTTTGAGCAAATAATACTAATGGTGTTTGATTTCAGAAGATTGAAAAACCACTTTATAGAATTAACATATCAAAATCAATCCTGATATGTGAGGATCACATTGCATTTTTACCTATTTAAAATCAAATTATTAAATTATATTTAAAATAGGTTAATTATGGCCCAAAGTTTTAGAAGCTAAAGGCCCGTCAACGACGATAATCTTGGGCTTCTGGCCCAACTTTGTCTAGTCATGTTCCTGATTTCTTTGAAACCTTCATAAGTCGGGAGATTGAGACCTCATTCGGTCAAGCCTCAAATTTTCAAAATTTGAAAAGCTGAGTGCGAGCGAGATACAGAGCGATGGCGTCAGTGTCGGGAAGCATGAAAGGTTTTTACAGACAGAGGAAAGCCCACAAATCATCCTCCAAATCTTCCAAGAAATCAGTCTCTCTTGCTCCCGATGTAGCGCAAGCTCCGTCCCCCAAAGGTCTCTCTTCCATCTTTCTTCATATGTTCGTCGATTCACTCGTGCTTCTTTTGGTTTTATTGATGGGCTGTCGTTCGTTATGATGGCGGCATGTTCTCCTTTTCTAGGGTTTTATTTTGGCTTTTCATCTGTGTTTGCTTTGCTGATCCTTTTCATCGATATAATCGCACATGATTTTTTTTTTCCTCGCGTATTTTCCTTTTGATAAAATGTTTGACTATGAAAATGGCCTTCAAAGGTATCGATTATAATTCGGAATGGTTATAGTTCTAGTCTCTAAATTGTAGGCTGTTTTTGTTATGGGTTTACGAGTATGTTTAAGAACTAGATATCTTTAAACTATATTGGAATGTGTTAGAGATTGAAGCAATAAAGAAGTCACACAACTCTTAATAGAATGTGTAAAGAAATACTAGGGAAAAAATTGCATGGAGTTCGAGAAAAGTCATATTATTGTGAATGATACTAGTACGACCCCATGTAATGTTGACATATTGATGGTAGGCATGACTTTCTTTGGGACTGATCAAGTCTCCTACGAATTATTATTATTTTTTTATAAACAAAACAGATAGAATTCATAGTGTAGCCACATTTCCATCACTTGAAGTTTGATATTTTGTATCTAACTGAGCAGCCCTTTGCTAGTCTCCTAAAATATGTTGAATAAGTACAGCAAAACCTACCTTTGGCCTGTGGTTTAGCTATATTTGTAAAGAGTAGTACTATGCAGTGCTCTCTACCTCTCAGAACTCAAGAGGTTGAGTTTTCTTTTCACTAGAGATCATGCTTTCAGACTCAAGCTATCCTCCCTGAAAAATTCCTGATAGGTAGAACTCTCAATAGCATCACCTATTTGAAATACACAAATGAAAGAAACGGGCAGGATAGGGATGTTTCTGATGATGTTAATGTTTTCCAATAGTCCTCTTTGAAGGGTGTGGTGGAAATCATAATGTTCAGTAATCTAGTTAGATTATTATAGAAAAGGGAAAGGTACTGTATCTGTATCGTGATATGTGGTACCTAGATTCTCTGTTGCTCCTTTTGTTTTACTGATTTCAGTTTATTCTTGATCAAATGAATTGGTTTTGCATGACAAGAAGATTGATTTTCGTGATGACACGTAGAATGGCTGTTTGTATCTGATATATAGTCCAATACACCTCTTACTTTGTTAATAGATGATGTCAATGAGCATGAAGAAATGCTGCGTCAATTTGACATGAACATGGCGTATGGACCATGCATTGGGATCACCAGACTAGCTCGGTGGGAACGAGCCCATAAGTTAGGTTTAAACCCTCCTGCAGAAATCGAGAAGCTTTTAAAAGGCGAGAAAGTTCAGGCAGATTGCTTGTGGGATGGCCGCATATAGAAGTTTGTACGGAATCCTCTTATGTTTAGACTTTAGTAGATAGTAGGAGAATAGGAGCAAATTGAAAACATTCAGTTTTCTATCGTGTTCCTTACTGCTTGTATGTTATGTCATGTCCCTGTTATTATCAAAAGACAAAATCATGTATTGACTTGTGGTTGACAGTTGGTTTCAGCAATATATGCTTAGTAATTATAGCCTATTGTAGTGGTTACAATCAAAGCAATTCAGATTAAAGATTTTTCCCTGCCCTGACAGTGAATGGAATGAAATACAAAATAAAATCCATGCCATCTACGTCTGATCCTGATGGTCTCAAAGATGAGTATATCCACGTGATGAGCAAAGGAACCAGAACTTTAGTTATGGAATTTAAAAAGGAGGGTGAAAGAAAAGGGAAAGGATATAATGTAGATACTTGACACGATCCTTGATGATCTCATCATTTAAACTATGCTTTGTTTACTTTGCGCATGGTAGGTGTATATCGATGAGTTTGTCCAGATTAAACATTGCACATTATCAACTGGTGTTTGAGCGGGAAAGACTAAACTCTTCTTAAGTGAGGTTCAAAGTTCAAACCTTATGGATATAAATAATTATGTTGGGAGAGCCATCCTTTCGGTTAAATTTAATTTGATATTTGGTTCAAATAAATGTATTTATAGAAGGAAGAAAAATTGAGTGCGCGTCGTTTATCATTTATCATAGAATATAATAATTATTTATCTAAATGGTTTTTTAATCTGACTTAAAGTTGAATTTTACCAGCAAAATTGGAATGTAGTTAGGGAGGATATTTTCAAACTGTTCATGGAAATATGGAAACAACCCGAGAGGATTGGGGAAAATAGTACACTGTTGGTTGTTGTACCAAAAATTGATCATCCTGAAATAATGGTGACTTTAGACTCATAGCATTGGGTAATGTGCTGTATAAGGGGGTTACAAAGTTAACAGTGAATAGGTTGAAGCCCTTAATGGACGAACTAGTTTCTCCTCATCAAATTGGTTTTATTCCGAAGAGTTTTTTCATATTTTGAATAGAATGAAGGGAAGAAGAGGCTACATGGCAATGAAGATTGATTTGGAAAACAGCACATGATAGGATGTCTTGGGAGCTTTGTGGGGAAAATGCTCGAGGAAACTGGTGTTGAGGGTCATTTAGATACGTTTTACAAATGAGCAAGTTTATAAAAGTAGAGTTATTTGATTATAATTAAAAAGACAAATTTGATTGTAAGAGACTAAATAATGAACTGAATAATATGTATTATTAGATGTATTAGATGGAAAATTAAACATATATATGATTAGATGTGAATAATATCATACATATAAAAAAAACAAAAAATAATAATAGAAACTGACTGAAATGAGTGGTACTAATCCCCGCATAGTCACTTCCATAACAAAGAACTGACCTCAATAAGCACAAAAACAATCAGACAACTCCTAGGTCCCTCATTCTCTCTCATTCACGTTATTAAGCGCGGTTAAAAAGCAAGAGCAGGACTCGAAGGCTCTGTTTGCGAGAGCGTTTGAGCACTGGTTAACTAGTTTTTGAAGGCATAAGCACGATTAGCCTCTTAACGGGATGTTTGGTTTAGCTTTTGTCCAATCTCACTTATGGCCAAAAGTTACGATTCTTAAGCCCGATTGAAGAAGTAAGACTCTCCTGCCTATAGCTTATGAGATCATGCTTTTAAGGCAACTTTGGGAGCGTTGATCATCATCTTCATCATGCTGACAGAGGGAGAGTACGCCGACTGGACCTTCTTCCTGTGTTGGTGGCCGACTAGACTGGTTGGGCACTCCTTATCTTTTGATTTTTCACGGCAAGCATGACACAAGGGAGGAGCTAAAGGCCAACTAAATATGGAGCTGAGAGAACATAGATCTAAGAACCAGTAAACATAAGTTTAGAGAGATGAAGAAGTCGATGACCGCTGTACTAACGGTGTTTAGTCTTTGAGCTGGAAGAAGAGAGGATTTCTGCAAATGTTTGGAGGTAGTGAAAGCCAACGTTTGTTGGGTATTAAAGCTTTAATCAAAAGGGGCACCATTTTTTCCATTCAAAAAAAAAAAAAGAAGGGGCACCATTTTACTCCATTTTCTTCTTCCAGTCGTGCAGCTAAATGAGAGAGAACAACGTG